TAACACGCAGGTGATTTTGATGTGTAAAGAAAGATGTTCTACTCAGAGATTTTTCTGCTTTTGATCATTTACATGTATGTTATGATTTCATATTTCTTCAAACTTTGCGATGTCGTTATTCTTCTAGTGGGAGAGAATATCATCAGCATGTTTTGATGCTAAAATCGTTTTTTTCCGAAATAATCAATGTCGAAGGTAACATCTAGAACATGTCTATTCGTCTTCTACTTTTTGATATCATCTAGGAAATTTGGTTTGATTTTAGTCTTTACAAGATATTCGATAAAACGCAAGTCGAGAGTGAATTCAGAAAACATGGACAATACGAAGTCATTCACGAAGAACAAAAGATCGTCTTGCTTAAATACTGTTCGATAATATTGTCGGAGAACGGAAGGTAGAGGTTCCACTGTTTAGCGACGACTACTAACAAAGGCTTGTCTGTGAACACTAAGTTAACTTTTTGCATTTATCGTGTTAGATCACCCACTATAGTAACTATGAAGATTTCAGTTAAAAGTAAAGATACAGTGAGAAGTGTTTACACGTTGTTGATAGCTGAATATAGTCACATACGACTTACAAACTGAGTTGATTTTATTTTAAGCTGCAGAGAAGTAACGAGTGCGTGATCAGCAACTAGCGGTTCAATTAGAACTTAAAGTGTACTGATTTAAGATTCACGATCTTGAGTGAACAAACGCTAAGAACATGGCAGTTCTGGAAATCAAGACAATGATGGACTAGCTCCAGAGGCCAAAAATTGCAGAGGTTACGGGAACGAAAGTTCAAGTAGAAGAAAGGCTGCAGTGTACAGAATCTAATATACAATATATCTGTGATTTATCATAAACTATTCGTCCTGCATGCTTTGATTGCTCAAATTATTTAACGTATTTTAGACCATAAGAATGTCCATACAAAATGACAGCCTTGACTCCTTTCTCCACGAAGCATATGAGTGGTTACAAGAACGAAATCCTGTTACTTCACTCGAAAGGTTTCCCTATGCTCGAAATATATTGGTTATTGGTCGTCCAAGAAGTGGAAAAACTACATTCATAAAAGTACTCAAAAATCCATGTTATATTTCTGCTGACTTTGTTCTTTTAACTAACAATCCCACATCATCCTGTCAATTCCTATTCAATCAACATGTTAAAATTGTTGAGACATGCTTATTGACAGCCTTGGGCGATATTTATGAGTATCATCTTATTTGTTTTTGTATTTCTTTCGAATCTGGTATGCAAAAAGAAGATATAAGTCTAATTTTATCATTAGTCAAGCAGTTCGGTGAAGAATTGTGTAAAAATCTCTGTCTCGTCATAACTCACTGCGAATCAAAGAATAGCGACAGTCGAAATCGTATTCATGAAAAAATTAAAGAAGATCAAGATTTTGCTTCTGTATTAAAATATTTCGAGCGTGGTATTCGTTTTTCAGGAGCCTTGAAGTATGATGACTGGAATAATGATCATCGAGATTCTCTTTTCCAGCAGTTACATAATGTTTATGCGTATCGCAAGCGTTTTTTAGAATTAATTGAATTATCCGACAAGCCTATTTGTCTTCGAGTCAAGCAGACAAGTGAGCAAACTTCCATTACAACATCTGTTTTTCAGTGTCGTCTTAAACAACCTGCTAATCCAGATTCTTCATTAATGCTCCATGTCCCAATATCTCCAAAACACAATACCATAGTAAAGACAAGAAAAAAGAGAAAGACATGTTTCTGCCATTGTTTTCATTTTCGCTCATATAAAGATTGAGCTTGTGTTTTTTCGTGCAGATATTCAATAAGAAACATGAATACATTCTTAATGTCGATATAAAACATAGAATTTATTTGATTAGTTGCCAAGCATGATGCATGACTTTCAAAAGCAGAATATACTATCTTGTAGATGGGTGACACTGTGATTCTTGTTTTCTATCTGCAAAGTTATTGGAAGAAACATAAGAAACGATTCGATAACAATTACTTTGTAGTTCTTCCATTGAATCCTCCATGGAACAGCTACTAACGGATACGCTGCGGAATACAAACGTAAAAGTTGCCATGAGAACCTAGGAATGTAATCGAATGAGGAAAACTACAAAAGTGCTGCTTTTACAGAGAAGGTTTAATTTCTCACCATGGTCTAGAAAGCTTCAGTGCTCGCTTTAAAAGTATTATCATGCAATTTTAACTTTTCATATTGACAATATCTACTTTTCAATCAAGAATCATATAAGGTTTGAATAGAGGACCGTGCAATCACTAAGCCGAAGTTGAAAAAAGCAGTCGAAGCCGCTGATATATAATATCAAATCATTTACCCGTTAAAAAAGAATAAATTTGTTTCTGTGATGTTGCAATTTTATTTTATTCAAAATCAATTAAAAGGAGGAGAGTCGGTAAGTGATGAAATCGACCCCCTTGACAAATTCGACTTTATCTAACCGAAACTATCATATTAGGTGCCCGAAAGCGTTCTGTCATAGAATTAGTCAAATAGAGCTTGCTTTTCATATGAACAGGTTCAGTAACTTATTCAATAGGCATTGCATTAAAAGGATGATCCTGGTTTTTCATGATAATCGTCTCATTTTATCCACTCAGTACATGATTGAGCAACCTCATTTTCATATGGTTGGATAGAAATTTTTGAGAGCTTTTGAGTAGTATAGAAATATTCAGGAAAAAACACTAAACAGACAATGGAATCCTAACCGAACTACTGACGGGTCACGATTTTGAGCCTTTTTCCATCATAAAAGTACTGTTTTCAATTGAAAAATTATAAAGGTGATAGATAATAATACGATATTCCGAATCAGAACCAAAAACTGAGTAGATCTAACTCAGATCCATCGAAAAATTGATCTCTACTCCTCTTCACGTATGGACCAAAAAATGAATTACATGAAAAAGTTAATCTTGTTATGTAATCAAATTCTAATGTAATCAAGTGGCATTCGGGATGTTGATAGCATATCGCGAAGCAATAAAAGTAGAGTTTTCATGAAATTCATTTTTCGGTCCACGCCAGAGGAATAATAGGAGTGAAGTTTTTGAAGAAAGTGAAAGTCAATATCTATAATTTTTCAATTGAAAACGGTACTTTTTTGTAGCGGAAAACGCTCAAAATCGTGACCCGTCAGTAGTTCGGTTAGGTTTCCATTGTCTGCCAAGTATTTTTTCCTGAATAATTTTATACCATTCTAAAGCCCGCAAAAATTTCTATCCAACCCCAAGAAAATGAGGCTGCTCAATCATGTATTGAGTGGATAAAATGAGACGATTATCATGAAAAACCAGGATCATCCTTTTAATGCAATGCCTATTGAATAAGTTACTGAATTTGTTCATATGAAAAGCAAGCTCTATTTGACTAATTCCATGACAAAACGCTTTCGGGCACCTAATATGATAGTTTCGGTTAGATAAAGTCGAATTTATCAAGGGGCCGATTTAATCGGTTATCGACCCCCCTCCTTTATCTGGATAGTCGTTGAATAGTTCATCATTGATAATTTCTTTACATGTTCCATATATTGCAACTGATCTTAACGACCCAATTAAAAAAAAAGATGAAAAAATTTAAAATCCGATCTACTTTTTTTTCACTTTACATCTCAATTTATTCTCATGCAGTCACAATTAACAATGTCCATTCTTCATTTAAAAAGAACTAAAAATATTACTCAAGACTCTTTAACAAAATACTTTGTACGAAGTACAACATCGATATACTAAAACTTACATTTAATATATAATCTTGATAAATGATTGTTAGGTTAAAAATACTTGAATCTAAACTAACAGGAAAATTTCATGTAGCTTTCGAAATTCACTATTGTGGATTTTACATCTTCGGTTAAATACTAATCCAACTGAGTTGAAAGCATTCAAAGATATGAGTAGACCTCTATATAAAATTCCGAAACTCGACTTCAATGAATTTGAAGTCGGACCGATGGAAACAATTTTTTTCGGTACCAATGTCACAACGATGTAGATAGCAGAGATGTTCACAGGGTGAATTTTTACACCCTGCCCTGCCCTGCCCCTGCTGTCTGAATCGAGCAGAGCAGGGCAGGGTACCCTGTCGAATCGATATGTTCTCTTATTTCGGTTTTTAATCCAGTTCAACAGCAACAACGTTTGTGTATTATATCCTAGAAAGTTGTTTTATTTAAATCTATTTCACAATATAAATAACTTACAGTTCAACTAACAAAATGTATCAATATTTCTGAACGTCAGACAAGTAGATGGCACAATATACGCAACCTAGGCTCACAAGCTTTACAACAGACGTTGACCTGAAAAAAGTTCAACAAAAAGAACGACAATGAATAGACGACTGCTACTATCAATAAGAAAAAAAAGCTTGTTAGCGAAGCTCCTTTGGAGCTGAAATGTGGAACTCACGTATATCCTTCAAACTTGCTATCCTAATGTATCATTTATAAACTGCAAAATAGTTCTTTTCAAATATTTATGAAAGTATTGAAGTATTCTATAGAATCTAAAGCCTTTTATGCGGGGTTGCTGAGGGCTATAATCAGAGTTATGTCTGTAATATTCTCTTCAGTTGCTAAGTGTCTGCAATGGGAAGGAGAGAAACTGCGAAAACTTGAACTTAAAACTTACACTCATTATTTTCTTTGAAAATATACGTGAGTTCCATACAATACATGATTTATTTTTATATAAACCTTTTTCTATTAATTGCATAAATGAAATTTTTTCTAATTTATTTGGTTGACGATGAGTTCCTCTTTCATTCAGGACTCAATCCACAGTAGAAACTCCCTTTTTGCGTTGGTTATTGTTGCAGGAATAGACAAAACTGAACGATTGGTACCGCCTTCTATAACTCATCTTCGATCTTTGACGCGCAAAGACAAAAAAAACTCTTTTCGAAATGAAAACTCAGAGAATGAATGTTCAAATTTGCAGGGTATGAAGGTTTCACCCTGCCCTGCCCTGCATCCTGCACTACCTTACCCTGCCATGAAGCAGGGCAGGATAAAAAAAGTTTGTTTACCCCTGCCCTGTGGACATCTCTGGTAGATAGAATGATCAAGTTTGCTGTTTGACATCATAACATCTGGCGTCTCATTTTCTACCTTTATAATCAATCAGTTGTTTCAAATTATTAAAATTTATCGATAATTGGTTAAACTGTACAGAATTTAACGTTGTTCTTTTCTGAATTAAGGTTTAATTTTAAGGTCCAAAAAAGTTTCCAGATATTCGTTACTTGATAAATACCATTCGCAACTAGACATAGCCGTGATCGTGACGTGACGATGACCAAAATCTGATCATAGCTAGTCATCATAAATTTTCAATACAGCTATAAGGTAGTTATTTTCAAACTTTATTAGAGAATTAAATATTATATTTAGTATTCTTTCAATATGTATCAATATCCTTTTCTAATTATGCTAACTCAAAATGAAGAAATAGAATCAATGCAATCGCGATACCAGNTTCAAACTTGAGCTTAGTTCGGTCCCATGTCCTATAGGTTTGGCAACGCGCAATATAAATCAACGTTTTAAATGGTAGATTTCACAGTATGATTTTGATATTCAGACAGTCTAGGAGGATTGATTTGTATGATTCACTTTTTGAAGTACACATAACTCTCGGATTTAAATCCGAAGTTTTCGCATTTATTTAGAAATTTATAAACAAAAAACACAATAAAAAAAAACAGGTATCGCTATATAAGATGCTAAGAAATTACTAAAACCAAAATGGATGTATTGTAAATGCTGAATAATCTTGTCCTAATAAAAATACACATATAAATAATGATGAAATTATTGGTCCAGTTGGAAAAAATAATGCTTTATAAACAAGATCATTTAATGAATAACCTTGTAAAATAAATGCACGACAAAATCTCCAATGAGCTATTGATATTCCTAGCCAAGTTATAAATCCCATTACACCTATCACATTAACAAATCATCGATAAATCATTTTATTACCAATAAATGATAATCCAAATAATATTGTTGATAATAATGTTGTAAATATAAGAGACCATATTGGAATGCCAGTTCGAGTTACATAAGTAAAGATATTTGGAGCTTTTTTCTCAGCAGCTAAAGCATAGAGAATACGTGAGCATATACAAAAGCCTGAATTTCCAGCTGATAATATTGTTGTTAATATAACTATATTCATAATATATACTGCCGGTTCAAGTCCTGATCGAACAAAAACAAGTGTAAATGATGACATTGTTACGTTATCAACACCTTTATGAGGCAATCTAGAATCATCATATGGAATAACAAGACCCATTATTAGAATTGATCCAATAAAAAATAAAATAATACGCCAAATCGTTCCATTTATAGCACGTGGAACATCCCGACGAGGATTTTCACATTCACTTACTGTTATACCAATTGTTTCTGTACCATAAAAACAAACACTATTGAATTCAAAATTATAATTATAATTATAGTAAACTTACTCCAAATGAAAAAGCTGAAATAATTGAAGTAGAAATAATTCCACCAGTACCATTATGAAAGGGTGCACCATCAATTTTCCAATTACGAAATCCTATCCGAATGTGTCCAAGTACGCCTATATCAACTAATAAACCAACTATTATAAATATAACAACAGTAAGAACTTTAATAATAGCAAACCAATATTCAGCTTCTCCATAACTTCTTACCATGAATGCATTTAATATAAACATTATTATCATTCCTAATAGAGACCAAATCATACTTGTAACATTCGGTAGCCAAAATTCTACAATAATTCCAGCCGCTACTAATTCACCAGCCATTGCTGTTACACAAGCTAAGTAATAATTATAACCTGATGCAAAACCACATGCTTCATCGACAAAACGACTTCCAAATGTATTAAATAATCCATTTATTGGATATTGTGTCGAAAGTTCAGCTATTTTAATTTAAAAAATATTTTCGATTAATTAAATTGAATTGAAATATTAAAGAATTCTAGAAGAACATATCTTGACACTAATATTCTTTTATAAATTGATCATAGAGAAACGAAATCTAATATTACCTATAAAATTTATTGTCAATCATCGATTTTTTTCTACACACAACACAATCATATTATGTTCAATCTACAGAAAAATATTTAAAACAAAAGCTAAAAATGCTGTTTCTATAAGGTATTCTCTTTCTCAGTTGTAGATTCTTTCAATGAGGTTATGCCGAGAGTATTAAGGCAATTTATTTTCTATGCAACTATCGCTTATATGAATATATTCATATTTCTTGAAACTAATCATCTCTAAGATGCTTTTTCCAATTACGAAAGATGTTTGGAATGTATTTTTTAATTAAAACTGTTAAAAGACAATGTGGGAAGAAGTTTAGTATCAAACAATATATTCTTCTACTTCATGAATTTTCCTCTATGATATTTGACACAGATTCAAAAACAAGTATAGCGTCGATCTCATCATAATATGAATGCAAAACAATGAATATAGAAATAAGTTTTTTCGCGATCTAGAGCATCATGCCATACGTGTTCCACAACACTTGGCAAAATGTCTAGATAAACTAAGAAACCGGATTGTTCTCACTTTAATACCTAAAACTGGTGAAAACGAATATATCAAATGTTCTAATCAGGGTTTAACCTTGATCAAACCTGAGGAAAAGAAGAAAAATTTAGAGTTAATATTATTCCAGCAAGTGTCTATACCTTGAGAAAAATACGAAGACAAATGATATAGGTCACTTACGAAGCTTCTTGAGTAACTTCAACTTAAAAATAATCAAATTTTTTGAAAATTATATTGTTTTTGTGTTCTTCAATACTTTTCGGACGATATGAGATTACATATGTGGATAGTCAAACATGTATTTTCAGCTTGATATGCAATGTACATGAAATATTTATAATATTGTCTAGTTTCCTCGTAAAAAATAATATGTAAACTGCTTAGTCATGCTTAATAAACGAGCTCTTGACAAAATTCAAGCTATTCTCTTCTCAAATAATAGTGTCCATCTCCTTGTAAGCGATACAGTATTTTATTCAATCGTTTACAAACGTATGCTGTATAAATAAATGTATAGAATGAGAGGAGAAACCCAAAAATTTTGAATAGCTCTTTCGTTTGATATTTTCGGTGAATATTCTAAGATTTTCTAGGAGCAGTTTCGATGTATCCCAGTTAGAGTAGATTCATTGAGGCAATCAGTTTAGAAAATAAAAAAGTACTTTAAATTCAAACAAACCTAAACTTGTCATAACTAAATAAACTATAATGGAAACAGTAACATAAGATACTAGAGAACCAGCTAGTTCTGCTGATGCTAATGCTTGACCAGAAGCTAAAAATAATCCCGTACCTATTGTTCCAGCTAATACAATCATAATCATATGTCGTTCTTTTAAAGTTCGATGAAGATCTTTTTTCTTTGGTGCTATTAGTATTCTATTGTCATCAAAATTTGTTTCATTGCAATTCGCTGAAATATTTATCTGTATTTGTTTGTAACATAACACCTATCTGATTTACAAATGCATGAAGAAAACCAAAGATTTATTTTTGATAGAAAATCTTACTTGAAGAACGTCCGGTATTTTGTTTTCAATATCAAAAGAAATTGATTGTTCACTTGACATTTATTCCAAATGAATTTAGATCTACAAAACGATTTCTACTTTCGTGTACCACCTTTCACTCTATAAAATGTTGTTATATTTATGTAAAGGCATACTGAATTGTTAAATTTTGAAATTCTATTTCATAATTTTACTAACTTGTTTTGTGCAGAAAAAGCACACGACTTTGACTGAAAAATAAGCTGAAAACATTTTTGAAGTGAAGATGCGTTTGACAGTCTGTAGTTACAGTTTGTTTAATTTGGTAATCTATCTCTAAATAACATGTAATACGTTGTCAGTCAGGACATCAAAAAAAAATCTCGATATATACATTTTTGTCTTTGTTCTCTTTATATCTGCAAAACAAAGAGTAAACCAAAAATACAGTGTGTGATATCAAAAATTTGTTATCATTTCTTAGTGAAGACGTTTTTTCACTTTGGTATTGATACTCATTAGCTTAACAAATGATATCGTGTATAGTATAAATGTTGGCAAGATGGAAGGAATATTGAAAAAAATGTGCACACATTCCTAATGATACTATTGTAATTTGTTCTAGTTTATAATGTTACATGGAGACCCGTTTGAAGATGTGAGGATAATGATAAAACTTCAAAAGCCATTCAAGCTTCATATAGATATTTCAATCGAACAACTGAAAAATGAATAATTTTTTATAGTAATTTTCCAATTAACAAAATGTCAGAGAAATACATTTGCTGTCATTAGTTAGGAACCTTTTTGAAATACTTCGATTATCTACGAATATAATTTAGTACACAAGTTCAACAAAGTCTCATAATTTATTTAAATTTTGGTGAATGTTCAAAAGAATATGCCTTTTAAATTCTTAGTCAACAATCGATAAATACGTTAATTACTTATAACAAATGCATTTTCTATCTAAACGAAGCGACCCAATACATAAGACATGTATGGAATTGCGCCTGAGTTTGGTAATCAATACAAAATCATCATCAGACTACCTATCAGACTATAGTTGTACGTTTATTTCTCAA